AACACACCAACTCGATAACTCGGATCGAAAATACTCAATTTTCATTGAAGTCAGTCAATTTTTATAAAGGGTATGAAGTTAGTGCATTTGTTCCAACAAGCCTTTAACGTGTCCTTAAAACTTGTCTTTCGGCATCAAAAGTCTTTTCTTGGACTAGCTTCTTCACTTACTGTGCAGTTTCGTGTCTGTCTTCATTATTTTCATTTTTTCGAGTTGGTGTATTTTCGTTCTCACTGATTCATTTATGATGCTGGGCATAAGATTTCATATTTTTGAAAGATTCTAAGCGCATAAGACGGAATTTTAAACGGACAGTCGAGCGAGGAGGAGATTTCTGGAGATGATTTTACTTTTTGAGATGGAAAGTTCGTAAACTTTCAAAATGCGTTTCAGAAAGTAGGTAACTAGATAATGCACATTGGTTTTGGATCAAACATCAGAGCACACGACCTAATTCAAATTTAAGGCATACTACACTGGAGATAGCTGTAAAAAGAAAATTCATGTAGATAAGTTTCGGTGTTTTTTGACAGAGAGGCGGGCAGCAGATGACCGGCCCAAATGGAAAATTATATATTCACGTGCGTAGACAAATATGAGAATTTTCCGACTTCATTACAGAGATGCGATTATGATAAACTTTTGCTTGACTCAAAAATGTACCCTCATGCCATTCAAAGAAGGAGGAACTGCTATTCTTGAGAAATAGTAGAGAGAATTGCAAATTGGAACGGAACAGAGGGAAAATTGCGATTTTCTGCCAAGGCTAAGCGATTGAAGAACGAAGCAAACGAAAGAAATATGAGATTCCTAGGAATAAGGAAATCTTGTGAATATTTTTGAATTTCCTTGAATCATGTGTGTAAGCATCATAACACGCTAATTAAACCTTTGAATCACCAGTCACCAGTAGATTTGAAAGTTAATCGCAGCAGAAACACTAAATAAGATACATTTTACCAAGGGGACTCTTCCTCAAGAGTATTCGTGAAAAAAAAAATGTAAAACTTTTTCTTTTTGGCAAAAATGAAGGATTAATTTGATGAAAAAAAAAAAAAAACATAGAACACATGACATTTGTGCGGTCAGGAATTCCCTTGAAGGAAACAATATTTTATTTCTACTGGCGAGAAGATTTTAAGAAAAACTGAGCCCACTTAGCTTTTCCAATATTCAATGTTCTTTGGAACTCGATAATTATTTGGACGTATTTCTGTCAAACGGAACTATGTGCATAATGGCGTGAGCCCTGTTATGCATATATTCTTATGAGTCTCAGGGGTCATGTCTCAATGCACATAGTTCCGTTTGACAGAAATACGTCCATTTGTGAGAAAAAAGTTTCCTAATCGAACGAGAGAAACGTGCCCATCTGTCTGTGCAGTAAACATTTCCGGTCATGACTTTGACTTAGTGGATGCATAATTAATAAGTTGAGCCTCTCAAGCATCAGGAGTGCCGAAAAGATGCTCCAATTTTTAAAGTAGGGCTAAACAGTGCAGTGTTGCACTTACGGAAAAACAGTTTTAAAAATTTTTGCTGTTCCAGATTATCTAACTTCCATTTGGACTGCGTTTAGCAGAAAGTAACCAAGCCACATCACCTACTGCAGAATTCAACTGGGCAATTTAATGTTACAAGAGAGCGTTTTTATGGATTTCTTCGAAAATTTTGAAGAATTTGCTTCGTACTATGCATGAAATTCACTGAAATTTGCACCAAAATCTGCACAACCGTTTTCACATAAAAAATTAAAATGTCCAAGGAAATTAGGCAATGACCGATGTGGCTTGTTTCCTTTCTGCTTAATGCGGTTCATTAGATGTGTGTTAAAAATTCCCGTGCGGAAGTCCATTTTCGGTCTTCGTGATAGGTAAATCTTTTTCCGCGTAATATTTTGATGAAAATACATGTGATTTTTTTTCTAATTCAGACCTTGACGCTACACTAGGAAAAAAAAACACATTGGATCTAAAGTCCAGACTCTTGAAAACATTGACAAGGAAAAATACTCTTGATTCAATCAGATTCTTGCTTAAATCAAAAGGAAATCCGCTCGAATTAAGAGGCTTGGTTCTTGATATAAGCAAAAATCCGATTGAATCAATAGTATTTTTCTTGTCGATGTTTTAAAGAGTCTGCACTCTAGATCCAATGTGTGTGTTTTTTTTTTTTTTTTTTTTTGTTTTTTTTTTCCCCAGTGTAGTGGTCCGATCCAATATTTTTGCACGATTCGGAAATTCCCTTCCTCGCTGCAAAAATTAATTGCCTCGATTTGTCTCGTAAACACCTTTTCCATTGATTACACAACGTCCTTGATTCCGAGTAACGCGCACTTTTCATGGAAAAGGTATCCAAGGAGCATCCGGGAAAGCTCCGGTTATGCAACCATCCCACTCGTGAGACGAATTCGAGGGGCCCAACTCAAGAGCCGGAGGATCCAATTACCTGTTTCAATAGGGGAGCTGGTGACCTGCCGCTCTGTTCATCGACAAATCAAAGTGACGTCACAAATTGGACGTGTTGAAGATGCGGAATGTCACCAGTTAGTCACGCGTCGCTGGCGCTGTGCGTAAAACCCAACAGCTTTTTAGAGCTTTCCAACTTGCGTAAAATACGTGTTGCGACATGACACTTGGAAATTAGAGTGATTTTCCGATCCTCATCAGTTATTGGCGATATGATGAAATCGAATTAGAACTGGGGAAAGAAAAGAATGGATGAATGTCACATCAGGAAATGCCACCATTCAACAGAGATGTATGCGTGCTAACAAATCGGCGGACTGATGATTGATGCATTCAGGTTGATACGACTTATGTCCATTCTTTTCATTCCTCAGTTCTAAGTTTACTAAATTTTTTGTTCAACAAGTTGCCGATCAATCATCACTATAGGCAAAAAATAGCGTTGATCTCTGAATTGATAGACAAAACTATAGACAAAGAAGACAATAGGGATATAAAGGGATGCTATTGGTGGAAGCGGATAGTTGTAATGGACAAAAGAGGTAGGTAATAGACTGTCGAATGGCAACCCACCAGAAAGCCTATAGTTTGTCCATGATTTTCACCCTTAGTCTATAGGAACCATTCATTTCAACCAATAAGATTTCTCTCTACTCCTTATGTCTACTATGTCTACCGCTTTGTCTATCAATTTCAATGATCAACCGGTAGGCGGTAGAAGAGGAGATTCCCGGTTTTGGCACAGGTTCCCTGATATTCCCTGAAATGTTTCACTCCCTAGTGAATTGCGGTTTTCCTCAGTCCTGGAAACAATTCTCAAAAGTCGTTTCTTTTGAATTTGTTCAAAAGTTACAAGGAAGATGCCAGCTACTGGTAGCGTGGGACTTTTGGATCACCCTGTACATTGTCTCTGAAAGAAATATTAATGATAAAATTACGATAGCGCGATATGGAGCGGGGGCTCCAGGGTGCGTTGCCCTGCGAACGAGGAAAATTGATGCTATATCGGTGACGAATTAGTCGGATGAGGTACGAATGAGAGCAAAGCAACCCCACAAAAACATAGCGCAGCGCTCCTCGTGGCCGGTCAAGGTCCATTCTATTGTTGATTTTCGCACACCACCATTAGATCCGCCAGGTTTTTCATGCGCCAAGTTTTTAGCCAACGTTTAAGCACAGTTCGGTCGCTATGCTCGATTAATTTCGCGAAAGGTCCGTTGCCAAATCCGGTATTTTTAGACCTTATTTGCAATTCGACAAAAACGCTGAAAATGTAATCGCAAAAAATGTTCGAACGACGATTCATAAGATACGCGATCGATTTTGCAATCGCCGAGAATCCGTGTTTCTACTCATTTTTCATGTTTTCGTGTTATCTTTAGTTAAGGAATTTACCATCTTTCATTAGTATAAAATTAAGGAAAGTAAAATAGCGCAGTTGCAATTAAATGGAATGAGGATGCAATTATTGCAACTGCATTAGAGTTGTGCATGTTGCCTATCTAAACATTGAAGGAACAGTTCTTGATGGAATTTATTGCAATAAAATTGAAATAAGTTGCAGTTTTTCTTTGCTTTGCAATTTTCCAGCATTTATGACACATGGAACTCATTTTGTTGATTTTTCACAATAGGCATTTAATGTCTAATGTAAAAATTGTGTGATTTTAGAGGAAAAAATTGCAATTTTTTGCATTAAATCGTAATTTCATATCAAAATTTCCATTTCAACGTGGTACCCGGGATCGAATTTCATCAGAGCATCAGAGTTGTGTATGTTGTCTATCTAAACATTGAAGGAACACTTCTTGGTGAAATTTATTGCAATAAAATTGAAAAAAGTTGCAATTTTTCTTTGCACTGCAATTTGCCAGCATTTCTGACACATGGAACCCATTTTGTTGATTGTTCACAATCGGCATTTATTGACTAATATAACAATTTTGCGCTTTTAGAGTAAAAAAATTGCAATTTTTTCATTAAATCGCAATTTTATCTCAACATTTCCATTGCACCGGGGCACTCGGGCTCGAATTTCACGATCAAACTTCGGTTTTATCAAATTTCGTAGTCTTATCAACACTTAAACAGATGAGTTTGGCGACACCGCGAATACACGTGTACCTGATCTCCAGCATTCATACTACGGATACTGAGGAAGTTAAACACTTCAACCAGTGGATGCTACGCCCAAGAACATACATTAAGAGATGGACCATAGGATAAATGTGTTTTTATGGAGCTCAGGTTTCATGGCAAACAGGACTTATCAGGTTTTGATATCACCAGGTTCGCTTTTCCTCCCTTATTGAGCGTGAGTTCCTCTTCCGAGTGGCAGTGCTACCGTGATAGCGAAGAGAACAGTAAGTGCAATTCTTTATGAGCCATGGTTAGCACATGCGTTTATGTGCCTCGAGGTTCATCCCAGCATGCACTTATTGCTCTCTTCACTATCACGGCAGAGTGGATGGGTACTCTTTAACCTTAAGTCGTGTGCATTCTTTCCCGCGTCAGTTTCACGGTGATCTTCGAGTGGTAGCCACATGTTGCGATAGGGCAGTTACGACTCTGTTTTCAAGTCTTCTCGTTGGGTTTTAGTGATGAGCAAGATGAGTGTTGACATTTCTCGGTGTTTTTTCGTGCTGCTTTTTCTCATTCCTGGACGATCAAGGTATGGATGTAAATGTAGAATTTGCAAAGTAAAATTGTATTGCTTCGTCTAAGAGTGCTTAATAAGCTGAGTTCGTAGTGTTTTTCATAATTTTTTGCTGAAATGAGAAATTGTAGAAAACTAGATTTAAAATATTAGAAAATGTGCTGCCTTGACGTTCTCTGGCAGTATTTCCCATTAAAACACATTTATTTTAGCAAATAAGGTTATTTTGTCATATTTCCTCCTATAACAGTTCAGTTTAGAAACCAAGGATATCTTCGTGGTCAGTTCTCTAGGTAATTTTATTTTAAACATGAAATTTACCACATTTTAGGCACCTGCAAATTCTCCATTGAAGTACATTTTACAGTGCCCCGACTTATTTTAAAAACGACATGTGTGTAATTGGTTTCCTCGTGCAGATATAAGTTTTTCAGGATGAACCATATTTTGTAGCTCCTCATTGCAAAATGCAGTCCAATTGATTTATACGATTTTCTCATCTCGTAAAAATTCAAGGTGATGAGTTTCCTTGAATTACAAAAGGACTAAATTTCGCAAAAGGGAACCACTATTTCGGGCTCATACTTAAAAGTATCTATCTGCAAAGGAGAACTTATGGTACATGGGTTGTTTCTAAAATGAGCTAGAAATTTTAGTTCCTTTGGGCAAAACGAGGACCTTAATTCCCTTGCAAATATTTACGAAATACATCATTATCCATCAAACATTTGTCCCTGTCCGTCTCTTGTTTCTAATGAGCTATTCCTTTATATCCCGTTCTATTCCAGGACACTTCGATTTTTTCCCAAGCTGTTCTAATTTTCTACAATTTATTCCTAATATTCTCGATTTATCCAAATTCAATGAGAGTACCAATTAACGATTTTAAAGATGAGTTTATTCCGTGATCAAGTGAAATAAATCGGGCGCTATTCCAAAGGATGGATCGAAAATCAGTTCGTCACAAAGCGTAGCGCATCTCTGGCTACAGGTGCATGAATTTTCTTCCCATAGACGCACAATGGGCCTTACAAACGGTTCAGTCAAAAATAGGATAACAAATAGATTGATAGACGTAACAGAGCTCAGGCGGGCGACGATGCTACGGGAGTAGCGTAATTTTTTATTTCATTATTTTGTGCCGGAAAACAGAAGTGGGTGGACGTCAGTTTCTTGCAAAAATGTGTTCATGAACTTGGTTGGACCTCTGATATTAGCATTAAGTCAGATCATAATCCAGCAAATGACCTATTAGAATTATGAACAATTTTAGCTCGAAACTACGTTGATCGGCACGATTCCTGTTTGATTTGATACATTTGAAAGTTTTTGTCACCAAATTTTCGTATAGCAGTACTCCTCCAAGATCTAGTAGGTATCAATGACTAAATTTTGAGGTTTTTTTTGGACTGAGGCATGCGTTGCCTTTATTTGGACGTATTTCTGCCAAACGGAACTATGTGCATTCAGACATGAGCCCTGAGACCCAAAAGAATATAAGCATGACAGGGCTCACGTCATAATGCACACAGTTCCGTTTGGCAGAAATACGTCCATTTCGGATGAACAAAATTTTGGTGGAGATTCTGAGACATCACAAGCGAGAAGTTCCTTTCCTGCGCCAGCTGCGCTGCGATTATGAAAATGTTTTCTCATTCGGTTTTCGGGGAAATCTCGCCCACTGAGAGGCGCAGCTTGACTGAACCGCGACAAGAGTCAATTAATTTTCCCGACTTCCCTTTCCGGAACTACCGACGACAGTTATAGGGCGATTAATTTTCACATTCGATGGTTCCACGATTCGACCTCATTTGACCCCGGTTTCCGACCAATTTTATCGTAGCACTCCAAACCCATTTTTTCAATTTCTTAAATCGGTGTTGTGAGAACGCAATCAAGTATCAAATTCACTCCGCGAATACTTTCGTACACACATCTATTTACTCATCATCTACAAATTTATGTTTTAAAAACTTTTAATTTATAATCAATTTATGTTTATTAACGTGGAAAATGAAGCTGACCGGAAAAGGTAAGAATAAAGTCTTACATCAAACGAAAATAGTTTTCAAGATGAACATTCACATGAATCACGCAGTTTTGTCAAACTACATAACGGCATTTGTTTCTTTGTCATTATATAGAACATTTATTCGGTAATATTGCTAATGTATACAACAACAAATTTGGTCGGTGAACAGCAAAAGGTGTGTCAAGTCAGTCACAATCAGGCATACCTTTGGGGCAGAATAGGAACATTTTTTACACATTATTTTTCACATTACACACTATACATTTAACATTATGTTTCAAGATAGTTTAGAATATATTTCTTTGAAATGTTTAGAATCGTAAGATGAAACAGTGTAGAAATTTTTAAAAATAAGAGCTTACAGGTTTTCCAGGAAATATGTGTTGAATCGGAAGGGATTTGACAACGCATAAGTGCTCATACGACGTTTTTCTTGACGCTGCAGTATTGATATTCGAGAAGATATCGTATGATATCCTATGATATCGGTAATAACGCCTTGATGCAACTATTCGTGCTCTATGGACATGCATGTTGCGTGCTAAAAGTTGAAGGCGCTCCGGTCACTCTAATCCATGATGAAGTACTGGTTATGACACGGGTCATGACTCGGTGTGGCGGTAGGAAATACCATTTTGAGTAGACAATATGGTGCGAGAATGTCCTTTCAAGTCCCCCTGTCTTAGTATGTATTAGAGAATTTCATCTTACCACATTTTCGTAACTTTGCGCCATGCCCCATGTGCTGCTGTGTGCACTGCTTCGTGACCAGAGGGCCTTCCATTTTTTTACATGCAACCCGCATGTTCACAGAGTGCGAATAATTGTATCACAGCATTATTACCAACAGCATTGAATGCATTGCGTTGACATTATGTTGACTGATATATTGACACAATATGGCCCGTCCTCTCTTATTTTACCTGAGTGTCGTTTCAAAAATGGAATTATTAAAAGTGACCATTAAAAAAAGATAATATATTAAAATTCTTCGGTTGAAAACAATTTTAATCAATCTTTCTCCGTTTTTTGGGGCACAATTTTATCAAATGATGTTACTCGGGCACTAAGACTGTTGCTCACACTATACGATCTAGCGAAGAATCGTGACGCAGCGTTGCCAAGTTGTGGTGGCAGAGCTTTCCGATCCCTGAGAAGGGTCTAATTCTAAAATTATGGAGTTGAATTTTACTCAAGGCTTGTGAAAATGGTCATATTCATGATTCTACGTTGAAGAATTTTTTAATCACAACATAAACCGCACCGGACCCTCCTGAGAAAAGGAGAGGTTTAAGGAACGATCGTGAGCGGGGCTCTGATTTAGTCCATATTCGAATCAGTGAGAACGAAAACACATCAACTCGGTACTCTAGAATGCTCAATTTTCATTAAAGGCAGTCAATTTTCATGGAGGTTATTGAAGTTAGCGCATGAGTTTCATCTTGCGCCTTTCAAGTGTCCTCAAATACTTGTTTTTTGGAATCAAAAATATTTTTTTAGACTAATTTCTTCACCCACTGTGCAGTTCTGTGTGTGTGTGTCTTGAATATTATTATTTTTTTTCGAGTTGGTGTGTTCTAGGTGGCGGTAGCCACCCCGGCCCAATCCAAAAAACTCCCCCTAAAAAATGACGAGACCAAATGGAAAAAAAAAAAACCGACGGGTGGCTGCTGTTTTCATTTTTACTGATTCATTTCAGGTTGATTCTCGGCTTGAGTACAAAAATTATCTTTCCATTTTTCTATTATTTCAGTTTCAGATATCCAGTTCCCAAGATGTCGTCACACTGCGAGTGTCAATTCGAGGACACCGCGTATCTGAGCAGTTCCTGCGGGGCTAACGTCACCCTGTTCATGACGCTGCTCGACATGATGATCCGATCCCACTGCGACCTAACCGACCCGTGCAACCGAACCCAGTCCCAGGCCAAAATTCGCGAGGAAGATACTGTTTTTGATTTCATTGTCGTCGGAGGTGGAGTTGCAGGTTAGTTGAACTGCTGTTATTCTTACGAGTGGGGAATTCGAATTTCCCGGGACAAATGAAAACTATAAACGTAAAATTTTAGTTAGGAGATGGTTTCAGTGATTTTTGATGCATGAACCCTGTTCTGCGCGAAATTTTGATTCCGAAAATAATTCTTGTTCTGCCCACTTTGTATTTTCCTAGCTGGCTATCCTTCATATGGTTAAAGTTTAGTGATACATCATTTACACATTAGTTCCTATGAGAACTCAACTACACCCGTGCTAAGGAAGAACGCCGTATGGACATTTGAGAGTTGCCAAATTTCCTTCGATAAAATGTTAATTTTTTAGGAAAGTTATGAATATTTTCTCTTAAAAATTTCAGGAAGTTTCGGTGAAATTGCGACCAAATTATCTAAAAAACTGGAAGAGAGGTATTCATAAGTTTACCAGGAAATTCGTTTATTGTCAAAGTCAATTTGGCAACGCCTGAAGGTTCATACGACGTTCTCCCTTAGTAGGGCAGGCTAGCTCTGGTTTTTTTTAGTTTTATGTGAAACGGTTAGAAGATTGATCCGGCATTAATCTTTAAGTATTCTGATGCTTTTTTATCAATCAGCTAAAACTTAATAAAGTTATGCTATCTAAAAAATTAATAATATTTTTTTACGGACTTAGGATTGCTGGATTTCTTCCTTACCGATGACTTTAAATTAAGATTTTTTCAAAAACTTTCACGCTGTTTTCCCTCAGGTAATTTATTTTATTTCATTCATAGCTGGATAATTTAATCGGAATTAAGTCGGAATGTTTCAGAATTCTGAAATGTCCGCTGGTCCATTGTCTCTCAATTAAGACATTATTCTTGATTCCTTGACGTCATACCCATGTATATTTTTCTAGGTTCTGTGGTTGCGGGTCGACTGAGCGAGAATCCAAAATGGCGGGTGGCGTTACTGGAGGCAGGACCGGAGGAGCCCTCGTCGAGTTCGATACCGGCCTTTGCAACGTCGGCCATCGGGACGTCCCTCGACTGGCAGTACAAGACCGAACGCCAGGAGGGCGCGTGTCTCAACCGCAACGGGATTTGCCGCTGGCCCCGGGGCAAGATGCTCGCAGGGACAGGCGCCATGACCGGTAAGCACCCTTATGATTAACTGAGGAGCTTAGAGGAAAGGCGCATAAGTGCAGTTTTTGCTATTTTGAGAAACAGATGTTTGAAGTTGTGAAATTACATGGATCCTTGCGGCAGAAAGAAAGTTCAAACTGACTTTTGGATGCTTAAAAAATTGATTTTGTGAGCGAATTTTTCACAGAATATGCATGAAGACTACTTGTACTTGAAACCATTAATACCTCAATTTTTCAAGAACTGCACTTATGCGCCTTGCCCTTCAAGCCCCTCAACTGATACCAGCTAAAGGAAAATCATTAAAACTGATGCGTCAGATCTCTGGTAGAAGTAATATCCGGAGGATGCAACTATTTCACCTCCGTGGTAATGTTGTGAGGTATCATTCTGAGTTGAAGACGCTCCGCCTACGCCAAGTTGTGTTACAGTGGGTCAGTTGTGCAGGTCACAGAATCGTGAATTGAAGCTCGGTTCTTGTAAATCAGCTAAGAACGGACCGCGTTAAGTAGAAAGAAACTTAAACACATCAGCTACAGCCAAATTTAAGTGGGCAGTTTAATTTAATACAGTGGGCAGATTATTTTTTACTTGAAGACGGATGTGCAAGTTTAAGTGGAGATTTCAGTGATTTTTCTGCATAGTACGAAGGAAATTCCTTACAATTTTCAAAGGATCCGCGCAAATGTTTTCTTGTACTCGTAAAAAATTAAATTGTCCAGTTAAATTTGGCAAATGCTGATGTGGCTTTCTTTTCTGCTTAATGCGGTCCAAATAATAAGGTCTGTCCAAATAGCAACTTTCTACGTTCAATGTTAGCCGAGATATCGCTCTTTGAAAAGTCGGACTTTTGACGTCATTCACCACGGTAGTGACACCCTTGATTTCTTTCACGTTCCTTTTATCAGTCAGCGTTACATCGGGTGAAAACAAGGTGGAAGAAACCAAAGGTGTCACTACCACAATGGATGACCTCAAAAACCCGACTTTTCAAAGGGCGATATCTCAGTTAATATTGAACGTAGAAAAGCGTTGTTTGGACAGATCTTATTATTTCTAGCTAATCTTCAAGAATCAAGCGTCAAAACACGATTCTATGACCAGCGCAAGTGACCCATTGACATGTCGAATCTCTGGTAGTAATAATTTCTTGAGGATGCAACTATATCACCTCCGCGGTAATGTTGTGAGGTATCACTATGAGTTGAAGGCGCTCCGCCTGCGCCAAGTTATGTTATAATTCTTACACCTGAACCTCTGGCTCCAATTAAGTCTACATTTTGACCTTTGTATGGGGAACGGCACATTGAGATATAACGGTAGTAACTTCCATGATCTTAAATGAAGTGTTCTTGTAATTTTAGGTATGATGTACACGCGAGGACACCCGGAGATCTTCGACGATTGGGCACGCCAGGGCAATCAGGGCTGGAGCTACGAAGAGGTTCTGCCGTACTTCAAGAAAGCCGAGTCTAATCTTAATCTGGATATCGTCGATTCAGAGTACCACGGCACCGACGGCCCCATGAACGTCCAACGCTTCGCACATCAACCCCCTTTCACCGAAACTTTCCTTGAGGCAGCGAAAGAACTTGGCTTCGCTATTCATGATCTTAATGGTACGTTTCCCGGCTGCGGCTGTTCAAAATAACTTTCCCGACCTGTCGAGACTTCAGAACCTGAAGAATATTGATAAGTCTTGGCCAGAAAAGTATTAAGAGTATATACACAAACCGATTGCGGTGAACGCACGGGTCGGAAGACGGGATGTTGGAGTTTTTTAGCCAACGAGCGTAAAAAGTTTAAGCTGAACTTTTCACGCACGTTGGCTAAAAAATTCCAACATCCCGTATTAAGAGTATATAGCTTTACAACTAAAGCAAACCATATATCACATAATTAGACGGAGTAATTAATTAGAATTACCTCAAGCATGTAAGATATCTTCTGACCTCCCCCCTCCCCCTCCCGGATCGCAAACTTTTACGTTTTTTTAAAGATGAGAGAAATTTTTTGTAAAAGTTTGCAAACTCAATTCGTATACCTAGTTTCAGTGTTTTACAACGATAAAAATCGAATCTTTTCAATCTAACCTTTTTTGATATGACGATTTTGTTCATTGACAAATTGAATATTTGCAGGGAAGAATATGACAGGGTTCTCAGTGGCACAATGCATGGTAAAAGACGGCCTACGAGCAAGTACCTACCGGATGTACGTGCGACAATTTTTGAAACAACGACCTAACCTCAAAGTTTTTACGCGCTCCCAGGTGACCAAGATCCTCATCAACCCCATCACTAAACGTGCTTTTGGGGTCCAATTCATTCACAACGACCGTCGCCACGTTTTCGTCTTCAAAAGGGAGCTCATCCTTTCTGCAGGTTTGCAATTCATTCTATATACATGCGTTTATTTACGTATATACAGAGTAAAAAAATTTAACTCCATCCACGGTTATTTGTAGAGTACATATGCAGCAAAGTCCATGCAAAAGATCTGTAAATGTTTAAAATTTGAAGCAGAAATTTAGACTTTAAAACAATATGTTACGTAAAAAAAGTTTCTCCTTGGTCCATTTATTTTAAAGCTCCACAAATTTTCAAACTATTAGCAGAAAAAATTGAAAGAAATATTACAAATGTTGGAATGAATAAGATCACTTTAAAACTTCTGGGCAAGTAAAGTATCAACAAAGATTCAAGTTTTAAAAGTTTCAGCGTTGTGTTTGACATCTTTACCAGAGACGTGACGTGTTTTGCGTGATACATCAATTGATCTGTCATTTAAACCCATAGAAAAGGATCAATAAACAGGATGTTCGCAAAAAACCCCTTAAAAATCGATTCTTAACCGTGGCTTCAAATGGGAAAATCGATGATCAATCATTCTCACGCTCCATTACTGCTCTTTACCCCTCCGTCCTACTCTGCCGTGCTAAGGAAAAACGCCGTATGAACCTTCGGACGTTGCCTCATTTCCACTAAAGAAAAACCAAATTTACTAGGAAAATTGTGAATATTTTTTTTTTCAAATTTTTCGGACAATTTTTTTCGCAATTTAATCTAAAATATCCGAACATTTCGAGGAAAAATACGCGCAACTTTTCTCAAAAATACATGTTTTACCTAGGGAAATTTGGCACTCCCCGAATGATCATACGGCGTTCTTCCTTAGGACGGTATTACCAGGCATCGGAAGGGTACAATTAAACCTAGGATCCGAAACTTTCCGACACTCTGATTATAATGAATTCAAGATTTCCATGCTTTAAACACAATGGACCACTAGACAAGGTACGAATTAAAGGATTCTGATACATGTTTCTTAACCAGAATTTCACGTAGAACACGATTCACACTACGAAAATTACCGAAATCAACTTCTAACGAAGATATTAACGTTTTTATTTCGCACTGATCACGAGGAATTTGAACTGCCCGCTCACAAGAAACTCAAAGCTCTACGTGAGTCAAATCGCGCACTACAACGGTTTCAGCAAGCTTCTCAATCGAGCAATGTTCATTTTCCACCATGAGTTTTTCAAACTATTGGTAATTTGCTATAGCTGAGCCAAAGTGTCAAGATTGAAGTTGAAGATTTTTACATCGCAGAGACTGTCATGATAAACATTTAGCGCGCGATGTGAATCACGTAGAGCATTGAGTTTTCATGAGCGGATGGTTTGAATTCACGCATCAAGAATCATTAAATATCTTCGTCAGGAGTTGATTTTGGTAATTTTCGTTGTGCGTATCGTGTTCTACGTGAAATTTTGGATGAGAAACATGTATCAGAATGCTGAAATTCGTACCTTGTCTAGTGGTCCATTGAGTGTATCGATAACATGTGAATATACATATAATCCAGCATTTCTTCATGACACAGGGGCAGTGGGTTCGCCGCACATCCTGATGTTATCGGGGGTGGGTCCTGAGCGAGACCTGAAGGAGGTAGGCATCACACCGATCGTGGACCTGAAGGTTGGCGAGAATCTCCACCACCACGTCTCCGTGGGCATCAAGATGTCCATCGACGAACCCGACTACAACCTTCTCACCCGCAACAACGTCGAGGAGTTCATGCGCACCCGGAGTGGACCCTTGGCCAGTACCGGCCTCACGCAGACCACCGGATTCATCCAAACCAGGTTCGTTACGCATCTATACTGTCGTGCAGGATTACAATTTGTCATGAAAAGTAGAGGCCCTTAATAGAGAGAGCTAAGAAAACGCAGCTCATGGAGGTCACAAACAGGAATAAAGATTACACAGATTGGACGTTTTTGTAATCAACCCATTCCCGACTTCCTTTCTCCGTTCCCTCTCTCATTCCATTTGTTCCTTGCCGTACCCCCCATGTCCCGGTCCATTGCAGGTTATAATCTTTGCAATTGGTGCAACTGTAATCTTTATTCCCGTTCGCGACACTGTGAAGGCCTAAAATACGGGAACCAATCAGACATGGATTCGCATTGTCTTCACTCTCAGTTTGAAGGGACTCTAATGAAAAGTAAAATCATGTGAAAAATCTCATGAAATTTCAAAAAAAATACGATGAAAAATATTTTTCGATATCAAATGACAAATTAAATGAAAGGCGACTGGTTTTTGCTTTTTGATATTATCTCGTGCGTGCTGCATACCCAGCCCTTGATAATATGTTTGATATTTTTCATATTTCTCACAACTTTGTAAAATTTCATGAAATATTTCACAGAAATGTTTAATATTTCTTATTTTTATTTTCAACCGCGAGCAATCCTGCTGTCGTGCTATGGAAAAACGTCGTATATTCCATCAGTAGGTGCCAATGCCAATTTTTCTTTGAAAAATCACAAATTCCTGAGATTTAAGAATATTTTTTTCAATTTTTTGGGAAATTGTATGTGTAGTTTGATCTAAAGTTTAAGTTTCAAGGAAAATTATCCATGAAGTTTCTTAAAAAAAAATAAATATTTTCTGAGTGGAAATTTGGCAAAATTCGAATATTCATACGACGTTTTTCCTTAGCACGGCAGTATACTCTGTCTACAAAATTATGAGTCACCCTTGTCCACACAAGCGCAATTTGGGAGAATTACTTCCACAAACTGGGGTTTCGTGGAGCAAGTTATAGCTATAGAGCTAATGTTCCCGGAAGTTCCTGGAAGAAGTTCGCTCAAAGTTTCACAGATCGTGGATTCAGATCGTGGACATGGCTTACTCTACTGCCACATAAAAATGTTCATTTAACGAAACAATGATTAAATTGTTTATCTTACTTGCACGTTAAGAAACAGTTCATTTCCATTCATAAAAATCGATATCACGCACCTGAAACATAGAAAAAAGACATGATTGTTAGTACTGCATAATACGTTAATCTGGCAAAGTATTTGAGATAATCGTGAATAATGTAGCTTTCTAAGTATAATGAGGATATCTGTACTTGTTCATGCAAAATTGGCACTTAAAAATAATTTTTTTGTTTATTAGATGTAGTTTATTTGGGAAAGGCAGGGCGTGTGTTTTCCGTTCTCCTAGTTGAACGACCAGCATTTAGGCTGCGAATACTATGTGATAATAAAGTGATGTAATTCCAAGAACCAACGGCTAAATAGATTTGTCTAACAGATCATAATCCGCCGAGAAGTTCGAGACTTCACGCGGCGCAGCGACTGCAGACCGTGTAGAAGCGCCTGCCGTTTCAGCAAACGCAACACGATATGCAGATAACCACTGTCTGCATCACGATCATTATCAGGCGAAACACATGGCATGAGCGGCTTGGAGTCATTTATTTAGGGCAACTCTTTCCTTAGACAAAGCATTTTCTTTGGATAAGTCATTTACGTTGTTTTACGTTGTCATTCGGGGTGGGACGTTTGAGGTGGCTTTCCATGATGAATCAGAAAACGGGACAATTTCGACAAACTTTTGATGTAATTCGACTGAATCCAAAAATGTGAAGGGGAAGAACTTTCTGAACTTCTGATTCCCTAAAGTCTTTGGATTTTTTAAGGGCGGACTTGTCCAGAATTTCGACTCCAAAAATACGCGATAAATCACCATGTAATCTCCTCACCTGGTACTATCAGAATATAGAATTTTTTTTTTTTTTTTTTTTTTTTTTTTTNAAAAAAAAGTAAAGACATAGGGACTGAGGCCTCAAAAGAAAAAATAGAAAAGAACAAGAGAATAGAGATAAGAGGCTAGTTTTTAAGGGCAGGACTTCCTTGAAGAGGAAGGTTTAAGATCCGTTTGCGGCCCCGGAAACTGCCGTCTGGCATACATCGGAGGGATCAGCATATAGAATGAAAACATGCACAAGTTTTAGTGACCCAGGCTCAGGAAGAACGCCGTATGAACATTCGAGGGTTGCGAAATTTTCTTTGATAAAATGTTCATTTTTGAGGAAAGTTATGAATATTTAGTCTTGAAATTTTCAGGAGCTTCAGGTGAAATTGCGAACAATAGAATCTAAAAAAATTAGATGGAAGATATTTCTTAGTTGACCGCAAAATTTGTGTTTTATCCAATAAAATTTGGCAACGCTTGAAGGTTCATACGGCGTTTTCCTTAGCACGGTAGCATTTCCATATGAAACCAAGAAATTGATGGGTACAATTTGACTATTTTTTCAGTTTTGCGAGGAACAACGTGCCGGACGTGCAGATCTACATGGACGGGTTCGGGAGCCGTTGTTCGAAGACGGGTCAGGAGGACGAGTGCTCGGATGGTGAGAGGAAAAGCTCCTGCGGGAACCGACAGTTGTTCGCGCGGCCGACCAACGTCATGGCTCAGAGCAAGGGATACCTCAAACTCGTCTCGGCCAACCCCATGAAGTACCCCGTCATCCAGCCCAACTACCTTTCCAATTATCGCGACGTTGAGGTCCTCATCGAAGGACTCAGGTACACTCAGTTTCTTACTTATGCCGCAATCACACGCTGAATGTGGCTTGAATGTGGAAGTCATCGGCTCGATGCCTGAATTTTGCGCGTGACACGCAAAATTCAGCAACCATTCTTAGCAACCATCAGACTAATGTTGAATTTGTCTGAACTATTCGAGTCGATTTGATACGCATCTGGATGAAAATAACTCGAATTTGCTAAATTTCAGTCGTTGGGTGATGACTGTTGACTTCCACATTCAGCTGCTAAATTCAGCGTCTGATTGCGGCATACTTACTTATTACTTACTTAAGGGCTATAATATCAATCTAAATGATCGGAAGTACCCAGCTACTTGCTTATTTAACTAAGAGAGCACAGGCGGATCCAGAAATTTGGCAACACCAGATTTCCTCCATTTAAACCTAATAATCGATTCTTGTCGGAGCACCTATAGCTCCTTCGAGAATCGATACATTTCCGTAGGTTTAAATGGGGAAGAACAATGTTGCCGATATTCTGGATCCGCTAATGTAAGAGAAGTAGGGATAGACCGACTTCAAATGGAGGAGTCAGGTGCAAAAACGGCCCGAGTAGCAAAATCGCGGTCCCACGAAAGTCACAAAACAGTGACGGAATATTTCATCATGGTACCAGTTTGTTACATTATCAGGTACAGCGTTGGCTGAGGTCAAACAAAGTTACTCATATCCTCAAGTTTAAGTTGGCACGATTGAAAGACAGAGTAACATCGTTGAAAACCAGAAATGACAGCAATAGAAAAGCGCACTCGGGCCATTTCTGCATAGAATGATTGATTTGAGAAGAACATTTTTTGTTTGGATGCCTGATATTTGTCGATTTTTAGAATCACTTTCATAGAATTCAATTTCGTATAATACTGTGCAACACCTCTGTTGCGAAATAGTTGCTTCAGGCGCCGCCGCACGGCTGGCGGGCGGCCAGCGCGAGACGCGCATTGGCGCCTACAAACCTAAGTGGATACTTCAAGCATTGTGCAATGCGTGAAGTATCCACTTAGGTTTGTAGGCGCCAGTGCGCCGCTCCGCTCCGTTAGATTTTAATATTTATACTCGCATAGTCAGCGTTTTTTAACTCATGATTTTGAAATGTTTGCACGCTCTGCATCGATTAATCTCATTTAAGTTGATGGGGAAAAAATATGTATCAATTTATCAAAGGAGAATAATAATATAATGTGTGTTTTTTAAATATTGGTGGTTCCGTGTCAAATGTAATGATTTACAAAGTACTTTAATTTTTTCTTTTACATTTTGTGCTTTTATTGTGCTGCAGCGAGGTGTACGCCCGACCAAACGCTCAAATTTTGACGTATTTGACTCTAAAAGATCGATGTACAAATAGGTTAAAACTAAAGATTGCGTGCTTCTTGGTTTTTTCCCTCTTTTAATCATTTTTGCAGTTTTTGTCGGCAAAACTGCGGCTTATTGAGATTAATGTCGCTTGGAAAAGGTTTTCCAAATATTTGTCACGTTTTAAAAATATAAATGTTTTCAAAATGAAGTAATAATTTCGTAAAGAAAAAATTAAAAAATGAAAAAAAGTACCTACGCACATATAAGGTATATTGTACATCGAATATGTTAAGGATAGAAATAGAACCAAATATTCTTAAATGACAATTTAAAAAGATGATTCAAAAGGAGAAAGTAATAACATTTCATTTAGAAAATGAGCGACCATAACAACACCTCCTTCTCTCTCAATTTCTCATTTCCAAATCGTCAATATAATTTTACATACCGACTAAAGTATAACGCTTGGACCAAGTTACCGTTGCTTATTCTACGTGTGGGCGTAAACTACTGGACAAAAAAGGTGCGCGGACAAATAATCGTAGACAAAATGTCCTGAAACCCCATTGCAACCATCCGTTTCCGCCAATAGCACCCCTTTACACCCCTTTTGTCATCTTTGTCTATAGCTTTGTCTATCAATTTCAACAATCACCTCGCAGTACATTTCCTCTGTTGGGTCACTAAACCTTGTTTATTTTATTGAATATTCTGAAAGTACTATGTGAGGAGATTACGTGTTGATTTTTCCGCATTTTCATGGAGCCAAAATCGCGGAGAAAACAGCTTTTGAAAAATCTAAAAACTGCAAGACATTTCAAACGCACCCGAATGGCGGGAAACTGACGCGGTCGATGTACTGCGGTAGTCATATCGCAATCTTCTCTCATTTTCCTCTGATGTTTGTTCAAATAAAACGTATTTCAATGTGGAGTTGTTGCTTGTTTATTACAGCTAACATATGAATGAGATTCTAGTCTTGAATTCAAAAGATATAATTTCGACTTTAGTATTGTTCTCATATACGAAGAGTAGATAGACATTTGACGGACGTCGTGGAAACCCGTGCCCGTCTCTGATCGGTGCCGGATGACATCATTCGGTGCGGCGCGAAACCGGGACGTTTTAAATTAGCGTACAAGTTGAGCGATTTGAACTGCGCACTTCTCGCAAATTGAGTTACTCGTTCGCGTTTTTAATGTTCGCATCGTGTTATACGCGTCATTTTCCTTCAGAAAACTATATTCGCAAGTCAAAATTTGCTCATGGTTTAGTGACCCATTTTAGAAAAGCGTCATTAACTTAACCCACCTTCTGTCTCCAGGTTCATAATGAAGTTAGCCCGGACGAAGACGATGCAAGCGAAAGGGATGCAGGTGGACCGAACGCCGGCGAAGGGCTGCGAGGGCTTCGACTTCGAGAGCTACGCCTACTGGGAGTGCCTCATCCGGCGGAACACCCTGCCGGAGAACCACCCGGCCGGCTCGTGCAAGATGGGCCCGGAGGGCGACCCGACGGCCGTCATCGACCCCGAGCTCCGGGTCCACGGGGTCCCCAACGTCCGCGTCGTCGACGCCTCCTCCTTCCCCTACGTCGCCAACAGCAACCCCATCGCCAGCATCATCATGCTCGCCGAGAAGGGCGCCGACATGATCAAGGAGACCTGGTCCGAGCCCCCCAAGGCCGCGTAGCCGCCCCTTCCCAGGGATTCCTCGTTTTCCCCAGTGGTATCAGAGTCCCTTTACAGAGAGTGTTAAGATGATTCGTCAAGCAGGAGTGACGTGGTCGAACTGGCATGCGATATATCGCATCTTTTAGGTCAAAAATCTCGACAGATTTTGAATTTTCAGCAAAAAAAGGACGATAGCCCTTGTTTGGAAAAAAAAACCTCGCATTCGATTCAGCTATCGATTTCTGTATCGAATGCGAGGTTTTTTTCCAAACACTATCCTGCTTCCATTTCTCTAAATTTTGCCGATATTTGGGTTTAGAATGATTCTTTAGGCTCATGCGCAGGGGCATGTCCTATTTTTTGCTGAAAATTCAAAATCTGCCGAGATTTTTTACCTAAAAGATGCGATATATCGCATGCCAGTTCGACCACTTCTTTTGAGTTTGACGAATCACCTAAGTCCAGGCTCATGGATGTCGCAAACGGGAATAAAGATTACACAAATCGGACGCTTTTTGTAATCTTTGATCAACCCATTCCCGGATTCCTATCTCCGTCCCGTCTCTCATTCGCATTCCATTTCTTCCTTGCCGTACCCCCAATGTTCCGGTCCATCCCAGTTTATAATCTTTGCAATCGGTGAAACTGTAATCTTTATTCCCGTTTGTGACACTGTGAAGGCTTAAATACGGGAAAAAATCTGAAATGGATTCGCATTGTCTTTACTCTCAGTATGAAAGGACTCTAAGTGGTTTGTACCGTCAGACGGAGTAAGCTGAACGGAACCAGAGACGGGTGGAAAAGAAGGAGTGCGCACGTTAAGCCCTGTATCCACTCGTCAAAATGGGGTCAAAATGGAAGCTCAAAGTGAATCGATAAATACGATCTGTTCGCGATTGTTGATCAAAAGAAAGTCGCGCCGCTCTATTTTGAGTTGCAACACTCATCAATCGCATCAATTCCCGCACTGAAAAAATGATATGTTGTTTTAGCACCTAGGATGTCAAACATGTGTCTGGTGATCCTAAGATGCTGCCTTGATTGCAGGATGTAAAGTTAATTGCTAGGGCAGTAAAGGCAGCATCTTGGGATCACCGGACATATTTTTGACATCCCAGGTGCTAAAAGAACGTATTCCCCCGTGGTCCTATTTAACTCATGATCCCTGTCCACAACGCACTTTTCCCTTGCCCACGGCTCATGACTTCCGCATACAGTTGGCGCTCAGTTCCGTTTGGCAGAATGTAAAATCTCACTTTCCCATTTCCCCAAAGGGAATCACACCCACTTTTACATTGTATCTTATCCAGCGTTCTGGTGCATACCCCATCATTTCCACTAGTCTATAGTTCCGTTTTAGTCTACAGTTCCATTTAGCATAAATACGTCCAATTAGGGGAGTAAACATGGTCGCTACTTAAACAGCGCCTTTCCACAAGAGGCCCAATTTGAACTTCATTTTGCTATTAGGAACTAAAATTTCTGGCTCACCAGAAAAAACACCAATGTGCATAGGGAAACTAATGGTACATGCGCTGTTTTCAAACTGAGCCAGTATTTATAGTTCCAAATTGCAAAATATAGTCCATTTGGTATACATACTTGAGGAAGGTTCAAGGAGGTCCTAAACACAGCATTATACAAAGGAAAAATCTTGCAAACCTCGAATAATATTCAGTAGTAAGATTTTGGAAATGGGTCCTTGAGATAGGTATCAAAGATTTAACACCATAAAAAATACAAAATACAGAAGAAAATATTTTGCGATGTCTGTAAATTTTAAGGTATAGGTTTGCATCTGCCATAAGCTTAATGTTGTGAAAATCGTAGAATTATGTTTTCAGTATTACCTATTTGTGGCGGTGACAAATTACTGCAATTCCTTGCAATAATCCATTTCCAGCTGGATTTTCATCTAGTTGGCAAAAATTGTCCTTTTTATGATGCCTTTTTGAGGACTTCCTTAAACCTCCCTTGATTACAATGTAAACCGAGTGGGGCGTCATATGGGAAAGACCTGTTTCAGGAATGACTATGCATATGACCTTAAAGGGTTGGATTTAGACGACTTGAGTCCTTGAGTGTTACAACCCGGGATTAAACTTTGTCATTTGATGAAACTGGAATGTCACTGTACTCTGGACACTTTGCTGTGAATTCTAATGATAAAAGAAATAGTTGAACATTCAAAGTACAAGTAGAAATGTTCACAAAAGACTGGTTGACGGTTTACGAGATACTGATCAATCTCCTGTGTACACTCTTTTGGTCATTTTAAGAATTAACTTTATTTTTCATCTCCTCATTGTTGCAATAACTGAATGGAAGCTTTGAACATTTATTGCGTGTAACAAAAATGTTTGATAATTTACCATCAAATAGTTTCATTTTAATAAGAAGTCAAGTTAATTAATCAAAAAATTGTCTCTCGCATTTTAAAATTGTGTTCTTGGAGAGCAACTATGGTGAATCACAAGTTTTGAAAATCAAATGAATATACAAGTGAAAGTTACGAACTGCGGAAAAATGCAGAGATAAAATTTAATGACGAATAACATAACTTGTACTGTTATAAAATATCGCAAAAGTTTTGACACAGCTAAAATCTCGTTCACACTTTCTACTTTACAGCATTATGCAGAAAAAGTGTTTTTACTCCTAATTCTTATTCAAATCGGATCTCTGTCATCTCTTTTTTTCGTCAGCCCGGCGGTGATATAACATGTATATGACGTATGACGCACATAACGTATAGAACGTAACGTATGAAGTGTGAAAGAATCGTACTAGCCTTTACTTGTGTGTTAAAGAGACAAGTAAGAACGATTAGCTTAGCGAATCGTGTTTTCAGGATCTCATACATGTCTTCGTACCCATCGTTACTTAATTTTATGAATCAGTATTCAGTATCGATGAATGATCTTTTTTATTAATGATTACTTAGATATTATATTGTTGTATATACTTAATTTATTGTGTAAATATAATATTTATTTACATTGACATGAGTTGCTTCATTATAAAAATACTCCATATAGTGATAGAGTTTTTCTTTTACAATTAAATAATTTAAATCAATTCTTGATGACCGGACTGTTCCTGCAACTAAATTACACGATAATGCTGGCTAACCTAGCGAAATGAACGACGGAAAAACAACCTCTGTCAAATTACCTTCAATTTGCCAATACATTTCTGTAACACATTTATCTACTGAGAGCCTCAGTTTTAATTGGAGGCCAAGTCTAAGGTTTTTTCACTCGAAATTTGGCTTCAGCTATCAAAAGAATACATCATCACATTAAAAAATTGCACTTTGATTTCAGAGGTTCACTTTGTACTGAAAATTATATTTTTAAAACGTGACAAATATTTGTAAAACCTTTTCCAAGCGACATTAATCTCAATGAGCCGCAGTTGTGCCGAAATAAACTGCAAAAATGAATAAAAGAGGGGAAAAAACCAAGAAGCGCCCAATCTTTAGTTTTAACCCATTTGTACATCGCGATCTTTAAGAGTCAAATACGTCAAATTTTGAGCGTTTCGTTGCACGTGCACCTCGCTGCAGCACAAAAAAAGCACAAAATGTAAAAGAAAAAATTAAAGTGCTTCGGAAATCATTACATTTGACACGGAACCACCAATATTTAAAAAAACACACATTATATCATTATTCTCCTTTGGTAAATTGATACATACTTTTCCTCATCAATTGAAATGAGAATAATCGATGCAGAGTGTGTAAACATTTAAAAATCATGAGTTAAAAAACGCTGACTAAGCGAGTAAAAATATTAAAGCCGAACAGAGCGGAGCGACGTTCTGCCAGCGCGAGAGGCTCACTGGCGCCTACAAACCTAAGTGGATACTTCAAGCATTGTGCAATACGTGAAGTATCCACTTAGGTTTGTAGGCGCCAGTGAGCCTCTCGCGCTGGCAGAACGTCGCTCCGCTCTGTTCGGCTTTAATATTTTTACTCGCTTAGTCAGCGTTTTTTAACTCATGATTTTTAAATGTTTACACACTCTGCATCGATTATTCTCATTTCAATTGATGAGGAAAAGTATGTATCAATTTACCAAAGGAGAATAATGATATAATGTGTGTTTTTTTAAATATTGGTGGTTCCGTGTCAAATGTAATGATTTCCGAAGCACTTTAATTTTTTCTTTTACATTTTGTGCTTTTTTTGTGCTGCAGCGAGGTGCACGTGCAACGAAACGCTCAAAATTTGACGTATTTGACTCTTAAAGATCGCGATGTACAAATGGGTTAAAACTAAAGATTGGGCGCTTCTTGGTTTTTTCCCCTCTTTTATTCATTTTTGCAGTTTCTGTCGGGAGAAAAAAAAAGTTGCACGATTTTGAAATTACTGCAATCGCGCTGGCTCCTTTTTGCTAAATGCGATCCAAATGATCCAGCTTGTTGTGGCGTTCACTTGAGCGGCCAAGTTATCGGCTTAAATACAGGCGCAAACCGAAAGAATCGAGATATTTTACGCACTTTGATACGAGTGGTAATTCTATTGTTCCTTCAACGCGGCTGTCGTTCTTTGTTAGGAAGACTACTTGTAATGGAGTTTTTCTTCTTATTCTTCTTTTCTCCACATGATAATTACTTCGGTGCAACGAGAGTGCAAGGCACCGCCGTGGCGTGCACATTCTCATTTCATTATTGAAAATTTACGCACGTTTACTATTCCGAGCACGTCGAACGATTATTACGCTTGCGTCAGACGGAAGAAAGGCTGTTACCTCACGCTGGATACTATTTTTATCGCTTTTAAACACCTCTTTGTGACTGAATGTTCGGTCACAATTTCATCGAGATTAACATCCACGACTCCGATCCAGCTTGGAGGGATTAAGAGGATCAACTCTTGATTGACACTCGTTTGATTCCAGAAAAGAATCGCGATATGTGATACAACTCATGAAGCGAACTCCGTCCTCCACGATCTATAATTCTGCCCCGAAAATGGCCCTTAACATTCTCCTCACCAAGATGGACATGATGCGCCTAAACGAGCTGACCCAAAAAGCTATTGTTAAGAACCCCGTATGAAGGCTTATAGGGCACAAGCTATATGATCTGGCCTTCGGGTTGTAATAAAGGT